GCTTCTTCTTTGGTCTTCCCCTTATATCAAATTCTGTAATAACAAAAGGATATTGATGATAATGGTAATGATGATGGAAAAATAGTATTGATAGCCGGAAGTTGACCTCTACTCCCTCTCCTCTTTTCATCATGTAACAATATAAAAGATTTAATTAACTGACCATTCGTCAATTCTAGTAAAAGAGAGAGAGAGAGAGACCAAAGAAACATTTTCCTTTCTCTGTCCACTCTTAATACTATCCACTGACCACCTCCATAGCTCATCATTTAGCTGAATATCACCATCAAGAATAATCAAGTAAAACAATCAATCAATATCAACATGGAACAGGTAAACTCATTATTATACCTTTGAATGAATTTCTCTCTCACTATTTTCACCATGAAAACATGTAACTACTAATAGAATCACGTTTTCTGTTCTGGATAAACAAAATTCATTCAATGATTTCCATTTGTAATACTTATATACACATTATATCAAATCAATTGATGAAGTTATATAATATAAAAGTTAATAGATTAAGTGAGGAAAAAGAAAAAGTTGAATATCATTTAATGCCTGAGGCTATTTTAAAGTTAATGGTAACCTTATCTTGGCTTTTCAACTCAACCAAATATCATCATCATTATTATTATCATCTTATGGTTTTCCAAGGAGAGTCAAAAAATTTAATAGTTTCTTGGTGTTAACTATTATTTACACGTTTTAATCCTTAAGGACATTTACTAGGCTTAATAACGTTTCGACTTTATCAACATTATTAACCCTGACAATCAATGAACACACAATCTGATTAACTGACACGGAAACTTGTTCAATGATAAAATAATAACATGTAATATATTCATAGACTAAGTGAGATATCAACTTAAACCATACATACATATTGTAATCCATAATATCATCACCATCATCATGAATATTGTAATATTTTTCATTACCTTTTGATGGATAATAACATTTTCCCATGAATACCCTCCTCATAAATGTATTTACATAGATATTTCTTTCAGCATTTATATACAAAAATGTATAGGTGATTATTGTGGTAAGAATATGAAATATTATCATCTGAATTTCATCTGAAAGAATAATAATAATAATAATGATTATGTCATATAATGAATTCTATATACTTTATAATAATATACAATATGGTTATCAAAGTTGAGAATAATACAAATACCTGTTAAGCGAAATGCTTTATATAAACAAATTCTGAGCATTCATGATAATAGATGATTTTGAATTTCGAATTTCGTAAAAACTGTCATCACGCATTCCCACCCTGTAGAAGTTGTAATCTGAATCATGAGAGAGAGAGAAAAGGTAAGATGGAAAGAAAAAAAATTCGATTCATGGTAAAACCTATAAGAATAATGATTTCCTTCCCTGTTATCATGGTAAAGAATAAGATTATTGAATCTCTTCATGAAAAGGTAACTGAATCAAGAACTTTCTCTTTTTTTCTATTATTACTTTTTTCCTCTGGATGATAAGCAAGAGAAAGAAAGAAAGAGAGAGAGAGAAAAAAATAGTAAATACATGAGAAGAGTTTATTTCCTGAAAACTGTTGATGATTTTCCACCATCATTGAAATGAACATTTACTCTTTCAAATTGGAACGAAGCAAAAAAAAAGTTCTAATATTCCATAAGATAACCGGAAGTTGGAATTTTCACTTTTTTCTCTCTCATCAATTTCCTACCAAGAAAATTATTAAAATTAACATAATATTATTGAAGATAATCAATTCACCTTCAACAATATTGTTTGATGATTAAGTTAATCATTTACTTGTGTTAATCAATAACATTAAACTGTTAACAATCAGTGAAAATTTAATATCAAACACAAAGTATATTATGTACATATAATATTATTATTATTATTTTTTTGCTAATATCTTTCAGCATAATATCATCAACCTCATCAATTATATTATATCAAAACAGTATACATCAGTTTTCATCCTTATCATCATTTTATCATCCTTATCATCATCATTCTCATCCTCTCATTCAACCATTTTTGTTATTATATATAAAAATATATATAATGTATTCATTTCCGTTTGCCTTTTTGCCTCTTTCTATTCAATCATATTGTTGTACTATTATATCAATATCATCTTCATCCTTCTCATCATCATCATCTCATCATCTTTTATCATCATCATTATCATAAGGTCTTCAGCATTTGCTCCACTTAATATTACAAGTCTATTGTTATTTTCTGTTGTGAGCAAGAGAAAGGGAAGAAAAAAACTTTGATCGAAAAGGAGATTTATCATTATAAACATTGACCTGTTTCTGACAACATGAGTATTAAGGCGAGAATAAGAGAGAGAAAAAAATTCTTCCAAGTTAAATGTTGTCAGGATAATACACACACACACACACACACATAGAAATACTAAAAAAGTTATATACTTACAGTGGAAGATGATGAGTATTATCTTCATCTCTCTTTCTCTTCATAACAGATTAGATACCAAAGAGAAACAAATTTGTAAAGATTATCTCAAGTTTCATCTTATAAATATACTTGGGAATTGGTTGGACTTTTATTAGCATTTCATTTGTTTACTTTCACGAGACTAATGAGGTGCTAATGTGCCGATTGATTAATTGTCTATTGTAGATTTCCACTTGAAGATGATTCCTCTATTTCTAATGATTTATCAAGAAGAAAAAAAAATTCGCAACAATTTAAAAACTTACGAGCATCAGATTATCAGATTGTGAAATGATGATTTATATTTTGTTACAAATTACGTGCCAATGAGCCGAAGTAAATATTTATCTTGTTTCATTTCTTGACAGAGAAAATGCTCAAATCTAATGATAAGGATGCGAAAACAGTTTTCGTGATTGTAGTATCACCATGAGATTGAGAAATAATCATAATCATCATAAAGTTAATCTCCGGTTCTAAATGTTAATTTAGTACTTGCGTGCCACCATCAATATTGAAATGTCTACAAAATTAGATGATAATCTAATATCTAATCATCAATATTATCATCAGGTAAAGTGATAACTTTCCGTGTCACCAATCAGAAAAAGCTACAATCAGATCATTTCAAGAAAAAACAACAGAGAGAGAGAGAGAGAGAGAGATAAAAACGATTATGAAATGATGATGATAAGGAAAATGTCAAAATAAATGAAAACCGCATCGTAATTATCATTGATGAGAATTATGATGATTTGATTGTTTTTTTTTGAGGTAAAAGATTATAGAGGATGATGATAATGATGATAATCTTTGACCTAAAGATGAGAAATCAGTGATTATTGTTCAATGTTCAGAATTGATTAGTTACCTTTATCTTTATTGTTATTGTCATGATAACATATTATTACCTTGATAATGTTTTCTTAGCGTAACAATTTTTGTCATGATAATGTCGCCTTAATGATAATGATAGTTTTCACTCAATAGACTAGAAAGTGGCTCATTTCCGTTAACATCATCATTCTCATCATTAGCATTATCATCATTTTCTCTCTCTCTTCTTTTCATCCTCATCATCATCATCACAATAACATAAACATTGTCTCTTCTTCATGTGAACATATTACTCTGAGATATTAATATAATTCAGACTAATGATTGTCATTTAATCAAAGTATTACCCACTAGTATCTATGTCACTCCCTTGATGGTGATTAAAGTTGATTGTTAACAATCAACTTAAACACGATAATATATCATTTTGATTGTGTATTAGTGACAAAAAGTAAAAAAATGATTACATAATCAATGTAAATCAATTGCAATGATTGACAGTTTATTTTTGTCTTTCTCTCCTTCAATCAACACCAAATTAAAACAATTAACACGTAATTAACTTGAAGTTATAATTGTTTATTAATTGATGATAACAACAATTCATCAACAACGTCTCGTTAATTACTCATAATTATTATGATGATCGGTTTAATTGTTGAAAGTGTCAATGTTTTACTATTAACTGGTGAGTGTCTAAGACTCTTGATCATCACTTTAAGCTAAATTGAATTGATTATTTATTGATTATGATTAACTTGATTAACTTGATTAACTTGATGATACTAAAGACAAGGAGTGGCTCTTAAAATAAATCAAGGGCCACTTGGTTATAACACTTAGCACACTTTATAATCTTAATTGTTACAATTGAAAATGATAAACAGTTAAAACTCAAAGTGATCAACAGTTAAATATTACATTGTATTCAATGTTTATTACAATTAAATTGTCCACGGTTAATAAATATTGATTTTTGTTTCACAATTAGAATGGTAATTAACTAAATTATCAATCAAATGAGTGTAAACAACTTTTATTACAAAGGAAAAGATCAACTATCGAACTGTCGAAACTTTTAGTTCTATTAGAACTTTTTTTTATTTTTTCGTTACTTTGAAATTCAAACAACCATATAGTTGATTTGTTTCAATTGATTAACTAAATCAAATGTTTTATAGGTTCGATTTGGTTTATATGATTAGTTAAATAACATTTGATTCAATCAAATGTATACATTCAATTGATTGTTACAATTAATCAGTTAGGAATTAAATATGATCAGGATAAGGAAAAATAATGTTAAGTATTTTCTTGATTGTTTTTCTATGTTTACTGGATTAACTTTCAATCCTTGATAGACTTGTTATTAAATCTATTGATTAATTATCATTAAGATAATTGGTCTTAAGAGACAACAATTTAATCTTAATCCCTGTTAATACTTTTACTTTTACAACTGAATTAACAGTTTTATTTGTATTATTTTATACCTCGAGTAATAAATAAATTGTATAAGGGTTGATTTGGTTTTTACTTACAAATTGTAAAGGTAAAGGTGATTACGATTTGATAAATCAGCAAGATTAGACTGGATTAACTGGTAATCAGCTACAGGAAAAATTAATTGATTGATAATATGGTTAATGATTACAAAGCTATTCAATTGGTATAAGAAATTGAAAAAAAAAGTAGTTAAGTGATTTGTTGATTGTTGATTTATTTTCTGTCTTTGTTTTTTTGTTTCTTTACAAACTGAATTAATTGTGACAATATTTTGAATAATTGACTAGAGGAAATGATAGACAGAGACAAAGAAAGAGAGGGAGAGAGTGAGGGAGAGAGAGAGAGAGAGAGATCTCCATTCAAACTTAGATTTATAATACAAATTGATGAGGATGAAGGAGGTTAAAGGATTCAGAATATGATTAAAGTGGGAAATTAATGACCGGGAAAACCGTTGAATAGATTAACAAAAATCAAATATAATTGATTCTCATAGTAACTGATTCAATATGCTTGATGATGGTGTTAATGGTTAATTGAATTAATATGATGAACAATTAAGGCACGATTCCCTAAAGGTGAGATGACGATGATGATGATGCCTTGATTAACGAAGAGGATATTGAACATACTGAATAACGTTATACTTTCGAGGCGAATGAAGAAACCATGAGACAATTTCAGAAGAAATTAAATCAATACACAAGGGGAATTTCGATTAAGATTATGATGATGATGATATGAATTTATATTCCATTTGATTTCAAATTTGATTCGTTTTAATCTGTTGTTGAAATGATATGATGAAAGAAGAGGCTTTTTCTTTTTATGGTAAATTAAAACGCAACCAGAAATGCAAATTTCACTCTGATCAATTGTACCATGATGATTGTTAATTGGTGGGTGTTAATCATATTGCTAGAACCATGAATGGTGGATGAGTGGATGACCTGAGGCCGCAGCGGCAGCGGCTGCGGCAGCTGACATGATATTCACACTGAATGGGTTGATAAATGAGCCCGCTTTCAGAGAAGCAGCTAAGGGCGAAAAGTTTGCCGAGGTTAATGTATTTGCGCTAGAAACAAGACCCACCGAACTGGGAATACCACCGATTCCGTGAAGTGTCCCACCATTTGCACTGCCACCGATTCCTAAATGGGTGAATGAATTACAACGAGAAATATCGTTTTTCATTGATGACGATGTTGAAGATGATCCCGAACCCGATCCTGTTGAAGAAGAGGTCGGACATGGTTTACCGTCTCGAACTAAAACTGGAATGGCCACTCGACGAGGAGATGGAAGTGGATTAACATCTAGACCCTTTTCTTGTCGAGCTCTTTTCGTTTTGTAACGATGATTTTGGAACCAAATTTTTACTTGAGTCGGCGTAAGTCGTATAGTAGACGCTAAAATCTCACGCTCTTGAGCTGATAAATATCGCTGTTGACAAAATCGTTTCTCCAATTCGTAGGTTTGATTTTTTGAGAATAAAACTCGACGTTTTCGCTTTTTGGTTCCCCTAGATACTCCCGAGGGTCCAGTATTTGATGAGGGTTGATGGTCACCATTTATATTGGTTGAATGGTGCCGATGATGGTGATTATGGTGATGGTCACTTTCACCTGATGATAATTTATTAACGTAATCACAATCACGATCAAAATCATGGTGATCACGACTCTCGGTTTGTCGAGGTGTTGACATCTCATCTGAATGTGAGTCAATTGATAGATTTGAATTGTCAGAAGCATCAATTAGACTTTCAGGTGAACTTGCTTGTTGCCTTTGCTGTTGTTGATGATGATTATGATGGGAAGGTGGTTGATGATGGTGATCATGATTAGACAATAAAGATGAAGATAATAATTTATTTGGTGATTGTCCATTGGTGTAACTATTTAATGTTGATGTGAAATGATGCAATGGATGAGATTGAAGGTTAGCAAGATGATGATGATGATGAAGATTATGATGATGGGTTTTAATTGTTTCAGGACTTTGACCGGAAGAAGTTGAGATTGGGGATAATTGAGTTGAATCTTTAGTTAATCCGGAAGGTGAAATTTGGCCTGATTGTTGAGAAGACAATCTAAATTTGCCCAAATCAACTGGCTCGGAGAGAGAGATTCCCGAATGATGAGGAACTGTTGGTGTTGTTGTTGGTATTGTTGAGGATTGAGAGGGTTGAGGAGGAGGTGGTAGTGGTGGTGGTGGTGGATGAGAACTCGCTAATCCTGGTAGAGGTGGAAGAGGTAAATGAGGAGGAAGAGGATGATGAACAACATGATGATGATGATGACCCAAAATTAAACTATTCTTGAGGTTACTTGATACTTCAATAAGACGATCACGATCATAAGGATTATCGTAATAATATAACGGTGAATTGAAGTGATTGGTTGTGTTGGTTAATTTGATTGGCGATGAATTAATATTATTATCATTATTTGATTCACCGTTGATTGGAGATGATGAGGAGGAAGAAGATGAATCCTCTGATTTAATTGTAATCTCGTTTAACGGATTAGTTGATTGGTTAATTTTCTCAGATGAATCACAATTTTCATCGGATGAAGATGATGATTTAACTTTTCCAAGGGTTGGTGATGTTGTTGTTGTTGTTGTTGTTGTCGATGATATTGGTGATGATGATGTTGATATATCGTTGGAACAATTAGTTTTCTGTTTATTTGAAGGTAACTTTAAAATATCTGAGACACTGAAACCAATTGAAACTTTGGCACTTGAACCATTTTCATCAATACTGTCGACAGACATTATCGTTTATCAATTAAAATGTTGTCGCGTAAGGAAAGAAAGTTAAATGATAAACAATACAAATTGTTAACTCGAAATTAAAATAATAATAAGAATTCAAATCGACAACGATAATTATTTCATGATTTTAACTAATTGAGATGGTAAAGTGAGAAGTATATTTAATATGGTTAACAGTTTAGATTGAAATTCTATGTAGAAAAAAGTTTTATGTTATATGATGAGAGTATCTTGTTAATGGTGAGTGCCGACTTTGAGAGTTAGCACTTTAACTAAGAATCAGAATTATTATTGTTTGAAGATAATCGCCAAGTGGACAGAGAGGAAAGCGATTGAAGTATCAAGATGACGAAGAGGATGAGAGAGAAAGAGAGAGAGGGAGAGAGAGAGAGGATAAGGAGGAGGATAAAGATGAAGATGTAACAAAGAGTAAAAAACCACTGGTGTAAGATGTTGGAGTGAGAGGTGGGAGGAGTGAGTACTATGAGTGAGTATTTTCTCCTCCTCTTGAACTATCAGATGATGAGAATAGTGAACATAATGAGAATAGAATTCGTGAGAGAAAAGAAGAGATGACGAAAGGAAGACAAATGTCGATTAGAAAAAAGGAGAAGAAGAGAAACGGAAACTCGAAAATAGAGGAAAAAGATTCAAGTGGGCGATTCTTTCTTTCTAAACTCCTCCCAGTTCCATGTATCATATTCTTTTTCATAGAAAACAAGGTGGAGTTTATTTTGATGGAGGTTCTCTTTCTTCAGAGAATATCTCATCTTTCTTTCTCTCTCTTTCTCTCTCTTTCTTTCTCGTTACAGAAAAAAAGGTTGAGCTTAGTTTGTCTTCATTATTCTCATTGGCTAATGTTCACTAATCCTTTTCCTTTCTTATTCTAATCGTCATCTTGATCGTCTTCAGCATCAGCAGGATGATAACTATTAAATCCATTGTGATGATAATCATCATTTCCCTTTGCTCTTGATTGGCTTTTTTCTCGTTCTAATCTATTTCATGATCTTTCCTCATCAGTATCGTGAGAGATTCAATTTCATCCTGTTTCTCCCCCTCCCTCCCTCCCTCTCTCTCTCTCTTCAATGATGACAACTAATGAATAAAATTGTTTTCGAAACGAAAATTAATTCAAACAACTTAAATAATCTGGCAATTGAATGATTAGCGATTAATAAAATCAAATTGTCAACTTGTGATCTTTAATTTTAATCATTTATTGCGAAACAAAACTACTTATTGTCAAGATTAACCGGGAAGGTGATAAAATTTAAAGATTCAAGGTCAAGTCATTAGAATTGACCAATGAAAGATAATAATTATATCAGATGACAACATGATATCTTGATGATTGACAGATGATAAACCAATGTATTCAATGAAATGAAGATATGATCAGCAGGATTTGATGAGAAAAAAAAAGTTTATCAGAGTGAAAAAGCTTAAAAACAATAACAGATTAATTTCAATGATAATCAACATTAATCCTCTAGTTGAGTTAACAAGTTTGTACTAGTTGACAAGTTGATTAAATTGATGCAGATGATGATGATGATGATGATGAGGATAAAGATGAAGATGATGCAGATGATTATAAAATAATGTAATACAATTGATAATATTAAAAGGAAATGTCAGAAAATAAACTCGACAAGAAGGAAATTGATTTCTTTTTTCTGTGTTAACTTGTATTTTCTCATTGATTGTCCTTATAATCACTTTTATCATGAGAAGACAACAAACAATTAGCTCATTGGCACGTTAATTTTGGTTAATCTTAAAGGTCAGAAAAAAAAGGTGAGGGATTAACCATGTGAACCATGAAATTGTAGTTACACCTTTGTGTATCTAACTACTGGGCCTACTATTTTCATCGATATTGTATCAGTACCTCGTATGAATATGAGTTAGAACCATTTTATCGACTAAACAAAAAGAAGAGAAAAAGTCGAAATCAAGTCGACAACAAAGTAACAACTAAATGCGAACAAAACAAATTCGAAACTATTTTTTACACCTAATAATATAGTCGATCTCTCTCTCTCTCTCTCGTTCTTTGTATACCAATTTTCAGCACGTTTAGTTATTATTTTTTATTCTTCTATTGAAAAGGAAAATTTGTCATCCAACTCATGGCTCATAACTTATTGTTAACTTATTTTCGGTTCTAATAACTTCGATATTGCTCTTGTTTTCCTTTGGCCTTCATCGCCATCACGCTTATCACCTTTGAGCCTTCGTGCCAATAAGTTTCTTTTTTTTTTCTTACCACTGGTAAACTTTAATGATCATCCGTTGACAAAGTTATGTTTTCTTTTCGCATCAAACTTTTACATGAAGCTAAATATATATAATAGATTTTGTTGTTTGTGATCGCTTTATGATCGTAAGGTGATAATGATGAAGATGAGGTTGAAGGATGATCAAGCGGAGCTAATTGCCACTTTCACACCTAATTAAGTTTGATGACGAGGCCTGAAAATAATAAGAAGAGAAATTATTATTACAAAAAGAAGAGACAAAGTCGTTTACTTGTTGTTGTTGTTTCTTTAGTTTTCTTTTTCTTTTTCTATTCTATGGTTAATCCTTCTAATATATGTGGAAATCTTCATGTGTGGTAGTCCAGGTAAGAAAGATAAAAGGATAAACAAGATGACCAACACCTTTGAAACACGCTGGACATAAACACATGCAGAGGTGTAAACTATAAAGAGCCAGGGGTCAACACACCATTTGAAATTTCCCTCAAAATTGAAAAGGTCAAAAAGTTCAAAGACTTGATGACACGATTGTTGTTGACATTTTTCAAGACAATTCGGACTCTCTCTCTCTCTCTCTCTCTCGTTGTTTGATTTTTGATGATGATGAATTGTAGTAATGAAACTTCATAAAGGAAGAGGAAGTAAAGTGTTGATTATATGATTGAATTAGATGATTGACCAGAGGAAATAAAAGAGGTAACCAATGGTCAAGAGTAAATTGTTATCCTTCTTCACTTTTAATGTTTACTTTTACTTTTCATTAGAAACCATTTTATCCCATTACTTATTATTATCTTTACGCTATTATTATCAATACCACTCCCCACACACAGTGAGAGAGAGAGAGAGAGAGAGAGAGAGAGAGAGAGAGAGAGAGACTATTGTCCAGAGTAATAGAATTGAGTGACCAAAGGCAGTATGAATAATCAAAAGAACCTATGTCACCATATCTAATGACCTTAACCCTTCCTCCTCCTCTTCCTCCTACTCTTTAGTCTCAGCATTCAGTCCAGTTAACTGACCCTTCTCAACTCAATGTCCATTTAATAATACATATTTATTAGTCTATTTGTTTATATTGTTGTTTGTTTATTTCTGTCCATCAGACTGTCAATTTTGAATAAACTATTTTCCCTCTCAATGTTTTATATATTTCATCACAATCAAATCATATTGACAATTGATTAATATTGAAAAACTGATCCATAGATATATATTATCATCATCGTATCCATCAACGATGACCTTTATTAACAATATAATTAACAATCAAGTAAACAAAAAGTTAATGGTGGGAAACAAGAGTTGACCACAAGAAAGGGTTATAAGGTCATCACTAGTGACCATTGGTATCATTTAATGATAATAAATAGATGACTTTATCTCTCTCTCTCTCTCTCACTCTCGAATCCTAAACAATTAACGAATCAAATCCCACATTTAATTACAACAACAATCAATTGAATGTATCAAGTTGACTGCACAATTTAAAGTGTCAACTGTTAACCAACATGTAAATCCTGATAAAGGATAATATTGATTGTTGGTATAACAATTTAATTTTTTTGTACTTTAAAAACTTTCCTTGACTATTAATACAATTGATTGTATTTAACTTTTTTTTTTGTTTGATTCAAGGTAAACACAGTTTTCATATTATCAATGATTAACATGACAATTAACACCCAACCATTAGTATATATGATAATTGTATCATCGGTAGTAAATGGTTTTGATAAGTGATAAAAATTTAATGACAATTTAATCCTCATTGAATCAAAGTTAAACCAATTTAACCAACTAGAAGTAAGAATGAAAAAAAGTTTCAATGATAATCAATGAAAGATAATAGGTTTGTGTGTATTTCTCCCTGTTGTAAATTGTTCAATCTTGTTTGTGACATTTAAGGGTAAATCAATCACAGATTAAGGATGACAATCAGTAACAATAACAAGGGACCATTAAATTAGCCTTTATATAGTTGAACCCACCTCTAAATTAGACTTGAATGAGAGAGAGAGAGAGAGAGAGAGAGAGAGAGAGAGAGAGAGAGATGATGATGATGATGAAAAGGAAGAGGAAGATGAGGAGGTGGAGAAGTAGAAAAATGAAAAAGAAAAAATTTGTAGAAAGAAGAAGAATAGAAAAGGAGGAGTAAATGATGAAGAAGATGAAACATTAAAGTGATCAGATGTTTTATCACATTGAATGTAAGAGGGAGAAGGTTAAAAAATTATCCATGGAGGCGAAGATGAGAAGATGATGAAGATTAGAAGAATCGAAAAGAATAGAAAAATTCTAAATGAGATCAACTTTTCGTTCCCGCTGAGTTGATAATTTCTTTCTCTTTTCTATGGTATCCTCTGGTGGGGAATTGGAAATTTTCGAATCGCTAGATCATCTTCATCATCATCCAAGTCTCTCTCTCTTCCCTTTCACTTTTTTAGAACTTGAGAGAGAAAGAGAGAGACGATAATCATCAACAAATAATCGAATTTGTATCAACAACAGTCAAAGACTAGATAAGATTCGAGGTTTACATTTGTCTCTCTCACTTTAATCCATCTCACTGATTAGCATCATTAGTTATATGAAACTGATGATGATGTATGAAGGATGTGATAAAATGGATCATGTTGTTGTTATTGTTAGGATGATGATGAGGATGCAAAAAATAGTGAGACAAAAAAATGAAGTGGCATTCAGATTGAATATAAAGTCCATTGTTGATTATCAGCCTAATCATCAACTTCATCATCATCATATGAATGATAAAAAAGCAATATGGATCGCGTCCAAAACAGTGTGATAGTTTTACACGTTACAAAAGAGGAAGAAGATGCAAAAAAAAGAGAGAGGAAGATGGCGATGAAAAGGAGGAGGAAGATGAAAAGATGATGTAGATTGACAATCAGAAGGAAAAAAAATTCGATACAATTTGTTTTCCATCTTCTTTGATAAATATACATGATATTAGGAAAAGATTATCAAGAAAAGAGGAAAACATTGACTCTCTCTCTCTCTCTCTCTCTCTACTAGTAAATATCATACATTGTGGTGAGAGATGATGATATTGATACCTAGTGATGATAATACTCTGATGATGATGATGATGAAAAGGTAACTGACAATATAATAGATACAAGAAAAGAGCATCACTCAAAAAAAGACCATTGAATAAGATTATCATCTTCATAAAGAGATGAGAAAATCATTTGAATAACAACTTTTTCCCTCCTTTTTTCCTCATCATCAGAATTTTTCTCCCAAACTTTCATGATAATGAAACATTATTATCATTGTAATAACATTGATAATAAGATTATTATGATGATTATTATTCTAT